CTGGGGGCACGGGAGATGCCGCACAGCCCAACACAGAGGGGCTGCAGCCGCCCCATCGCCTGCGTGGGGTGTGTGGCTGGGACCCAGGTTTCCATGGAAAGGAGGATTAATACACTGGATAAATAAAACCCGGAAAAGTTCTTTGCTAAATATGCAGTGCCATGTGGGGGTTCACTTGTATGTTAAAAAAGAAAGCCTACAACAAAACCCACTCCTACCCAGCTCTTAAAGACAGCTTACACTGCCAAATCCCTTACCTTCGTGTCTGAGTAAGCAAGGCCCTCAGAGCATATTCAGTGCAGACAATTCTGCTTCCCGTTGCCCATCACACGGGATAACCCTTCTGAAATCCCCCTCAGCGCAAGGAGAGGTCAGAGCTCAGCCACCTCAACCCACCCAGTCACCTCACCACAGCCCTGGCCAGCAAAACGCAGTGACACGCCAGTGGCACCCCGTTTTTCCCACCTCTGAGACAGGATTTTGGAGAGGGGGAGGCTCTCCGACTGACCCGCAGGTCTCATCTTCCTCCCTCCAGCAGCACGCACCATCCCGGCTGGGAGCAGCCGCATTCCAGCCAGCACCCAGCACTCGGACTAAGACCCCTGTGTGTTAAAATCTTTAATTAATGCTCTAGAGAAGAATATACTTGCATACGCTTACACAATAGAGAAGGCACAGGACTCATTATGGCTGCATCTTCCTGGGCCGGTGATTATTAATTAACGCACTTCCAGCTCGTTTATCTAATCACGGCATAATTGATTTCAGTTTTGGTCAATGTTGTACTTCATCAGCTGGGTAAATAGCAAAGCTCCGCTCCCGGCAGCCTCTGCCAGTGCTGGAGGCACAACAGGGTATCGGCTGTGACCTCGAGCTGATGCCACATTCCCGACGGTCCTAACGGGGGTCTCTGGAGTCACCAGGGACGCCAGCACCTTGCCGAGACTGCCAGGAGAGAAGAGGGACCCGACATCGTCCCCACGCTCCAGCAGCCCTTGCAGGAGGACAGGGCACACGCTGCTCCCATACACACACAGGTCAAAGTCACCTAAAGGTGCTGGATATTCCCATCCCCCGCATACACCCTGGAACCCACGGCACAGCCCTCGCACGTGTTTCCTCGAGTCCCCACTGCCGCCCTGAGGTAAGGAACACAGTGCCTGACCCCCAGCTTAGTGCAGGGAACTCCCCGCTGGGACACAGGGACACAC